TCAGATCTGAAAAGTTAGTTTAAGGTGTGCCTATGCTGTTACTCTTGATTTCATCCCCACATTCTTTGCACCTCCAGGACAAATACAAACATCTCCATGCAGGGATCATGATATCTGTTGTTCCATTTTTTCCCCCTAAAACGTACAGCCTGGAAATGGTAATTTTTTTCGAAAGCAACTTATTGCCTATTGCTCAGATCTCCACTGAGTGATTTAGCAAATATAGTTTAGTTAATCACTACTGGACACACTCAGACACACAGACAATGCCCAGTTTTAGCATGAGGTAGGGTGAAAAGTAGGGATACTGTCTTGGAAATCCAGTCTAATTCTGGATCTCCTAGCTCAGTGGTTCCCAACCTTGGCTAACCCAGGTGTTCTTGAACTGCCGCTCCCAGAAACCCCAGCCAGCACAGGTGGTGGTGAAGGCTTCTGAGAGTTGCAGTCCAAGAACACCTGAGTTACAAAAGTTTGGCAACCACTGCTCTGTCTTTAACATCTGGCTGGTATAATATTAAGACTTTCCTGTTTCCTCCCCTTTCCAACTAATCTCCAACCTTCAACCGAATGATGACATGCTCACCTTTGTTAGGTGAGGGTGATGGTTTGGTGGTCCAAAACAAGTTTTATTGTTGTTGTTTACTTTGGCACAAGTTAGGGGACTGGTCAAAAGCTAAGATAGCTTTTTAGAAAAGATTACTCAAATGTATGAAGCAGAATCCTATCTGTGATTATTATCTGGGGACTCATTTTTGGACTACAACTCCCAGAAATCCTGGCCAGCACAGCTAGTGGTGAGAGCATCTGGAAGTTTTAGTCCAAGAACATCTGGGGACCCAAAGTTGGAAATCACTGCTCTAGGCCACGGCTCACAGCCATTGTCTCTATTCACCAAGATGTTCATTAATGCAATTGTTTAGAGGATGTTCATAATATTTTGGGATGTGCAATTAAGAGAATCATTGTGTTAGTATAGGAACAAACCCCCCCAGCAACGAGCTATTACTGCAAGCAGGGCAGGTTGATACAGCCTCCTGGTATGAATAGAGCACTATGCTGAAAAACCAGAGGCTGGAACACTTTGTGCTTGGCATAAAAATAATGAAACAGGGTGCAGTTAAACATGGGTAGCCTATAGCAGTTCAAACAAAAGCAAAGTGAAGGAGAACAGAAGGTAACACGTAGTGAAAAGATGTGTTTTTTTCTTGATAAGGACAGAAGGTGTATAAGAACATAAGAAGAACCATACTGGATGAGATCCAAGGCCTCTCTATTCCATCATTCTGTTTCCACAGTGGCCAACTCATTGTCCCAACCGCAGCCTGGTCTACTCACTGCATTCTCTTGGTTGAAAACAACTTGGTTTATTCTAGAAACTTAGTCTATTGCTCTACAGTTGTGCCCTGCTTAACGATTACCCCGTATAACGACGAATCCGCTTCACGACGATGTTTGCAATCGCAAAACAATGTTTTAAATTGGGTTTTTTCGCTTTGCGAAGATTGGTTCCCTGCTCCGGGAACCGATTCTTCACATTACGATCAAAACAGCTGATCGTCGGGTTTTCAAAATGGCCACCATGTGCTCAAAATGGCTCCCTGCTGTGTTTTTGGATGGATTTCTCGCTCTACAGGCACCGAAAATAGCCGCCCCTATGGAGGATCTTCACTGGACAGTGAGTTTTTCAGCCCAATGGAATGCATTGACTGGTTTTCAATGCATTTCAATGGGCTTTTTTATTTCGCTTTACGACGTTTTTGCTCTACAGCGATTTCGCTGGAACGAATTAATGTCGTTAAGCGAGGCACCACTGTATTTTCCTATGCTGGTAGACCAGGCTGCTAGGTCAATTTTGGAAATCTAGGGGAAGAGTGTCCTTTAGATTTAACACCCTGGGCAAAACCGCAATTGCCCTCTTTAGTTCCAGCCATGTTAGATTGTCATTTGCTGAAAAGGAATGGAAGGGTTGCAGATCTAAAGAATCATAGAATCACAGAATCATACAATCATGGAATTAGTTTGGGCCTAGGAGGCCATCACATTAAATTCTCTACTGAGATCCAGAATCACAGTGTGGATTTTGAGCTAATAGATTCACCACTGACATGGTACAGTATTTTTCCTCAGACAGTTGCAGGAGAAATGTAGGGAACAACAACAGCCGCTCTTTGTGGCCTTCTTAGATCTCACAGAGGCCTTTGATTTGGTTAGCA